AAGATTCAGATTAAGGCAATGTGCTTAGGTGCATGCTTCTTACAGAACAGGTGCTCAACAAATTCTATGATACTAGTACCGTTACATTGAGTGCTGCCATCGTCATGAATGTGATGAATAGAAAAGCCAAATTTACAAATTGATTTTGATTTAAAATTGAGAACATTGAATTTGAATTCTGAAAGTGAAATAATAAAACAAAGCTTAAAAGAAAATCATTAAAGAAGACTTTCCAAAGGAGCAAGAAAAAAACAAAAACAAAAAAACGAACCCTGAAAAATGTAGGTCAATGTTTTACTTATTTAATATTCAGGGTTATCTGTAGGTTTGGAATACTAGACGCTTAAAGTTATAAAACTAAACTTTCAGACACCCTTTACCTATAATAAAATAACTACAAGGCAGCGAATAATACCTTGAGAACTTGATTGAGTTAAAACTTTATTAACTATATAACATAATTCAAGCTAATAATAGTAGCTAGCACCTGCTATGTGAAAGGCACTGTGTTAAAGCCCTTGTTGATATAAAGTTGAGGAGATACTAAGAAGTATACAAACCAATAGATTTGTATTTATGTATTTGTTATTATTCAAGTCTATTTTCACTATATTTTAAAGGTTATAGAATTTTTAAAAATATATAAGTAAATCTGACTTTAATTAAAAACATTAACTTGGTGGAATTTGGAACAATCACAATTTAGTGTAAAACAAATGTTAAGGTTACAAAATATTCAACTTGGGATGGGTAGATCTTGTCAATAACATACATTTTAATATATATAAATTAAAATTTCTCATGCTAATTGACAACAGAATGTGGTCTGTTAAATAATATTAACAAATGCCATTTATTGAGAGCCTTTTCACAGTCACTTACATGATCATTTCTATTAATCATATTTTGTTAGACTATAATTTAATTTTTTAAAACAATTACATAGAACTCTTAGGAACTCATAGGAAGTGATTGAAAAGGTTTGGAGATGCTGTCATCAGGAGATTTTTCAATAGAATAGGAAATAAAATCAAAAGGAGAACATTCAAATTAAAATATAATAAATTTTATGTAGCATATAAAAGGTGGCACGTAGTTGTTTCATAATTAGAACTAGTAACTGATAATTTGGATAATACTAGTTTTTAAATAAATCCCAGCTGTTTAATCTAAGGTTCTCATATTTAAAGCTTGTGAAGGGAATCCATATTAATTTGATCATTCTTTATGTGAGTACATTACCTATTATATGTTTAACACTGTGCTAGTCTCTGGGGATACAGAGAATTTTTAAAATAAGAATAATTTT